CCCTAATGTAAACCCTAATGTAAACCCTAATGTAAACCCTAATGTAAACCCTAATGTAAACCCTAACCCAAATCTAAAAAATAGAAAAAAAAGACTTAATAATATTTTCTAAAAATAAACTAAATAATTATAACTAATTTATAGTACTAAAAAGATTCTGTAAATAATAGATTAATAAAAAAAAATAAAAAAACTTTATAAAAATAATATTATTTAATTTAAAGATATATTTATATATAAATATAATTTATTATATTTTTTTTTAGCTTAATTTATCTGCTATATTTATTATTATTAATAAATATAATAAATAAAAAACTATATTTAAAGTTTAGAATTATTAAATTTTTTTTTTTTAAATAATTTAAATATTTAATTATTTAGAGTTATATTTAAGATTAAAATTTGAATAATCTCTTTTTCTACTATAAATCTAAAATCTAAATATATTATTTTATTAAGATATAAGTTATATCTTAATAAATATTTTATTATTTATATTTTAATTTCTAAAGATTTTATAATTTTAATATATTTAGCTTTTTCTAGAGATCTAAATATAAATATTAAATAAAAATAATAAATTTAAATAAAAAAAATACTTATATAAAAAAGATTTAAAAAAGATTTTTATAAAATCTATTATTAAAGATATAATATAGTATCTAATATTTAAATTAAATAATTATAAATAATATAATTACTAAAATAAACTAATTATATAATATAATATAAATAATTTTTAATTTAATATACAGATAATTAAGATTTTTTTTAATAAAAAATAAAAAAATAATAGGCTTATTAAGTTTATTTAAAAAGATTTAATAATAATTTAAAAATATTATACTAGTTTTTAATTATTATTTTAATAATAAAAGTATAATATTTTTTATATAATTTATTAGATCTCTAGTATACAGTTTAAATTAAACTATAATTATATATTTTTTTTTATATTTTTTATTATAAAAGTAATAATATTTTAAGAAATTAAATTATATTAATATTACTAGAATTTCCTTATTTTTTTTTATAAATAAAAAAAAATTATTATTATATTTTTTAATTATTTTTTTTTATTCTGGAAAGCTTATTTTTATATATTTTTAAATAATAATTAGAATAATTAAATTAATTCTTATTTAACTTAGATATATCTTAACTATACTAAAGTTAAAAAAAATATAATAAATAGATTTTAATACTAAGAATAATTAAAATAGTTAATTATCCTGTTTTTAGTTATACTATAGTTAAGTATAAAAATTTCTTTAACCTGATTATTAATCTACAGTCAGGTATAAAAGTTTTTATTAACCTGACCTGATCTAGCTGTTAGCCACTCTAATTAACTTAATATAAATTAATATTATCATTTTCTACTATTAATTATTATATTTATAAAAATAGTTAGTTTAATTATTAAATTAGTAATATTATACTACTATTTTATAACTAGAAACAGCTGCTATTAAGAAAAAACTAAATTATTATAATTAATTTATATAACTAAGTAATTACTATAATAGAATATCTATATCTTAATTATAAAATAGTTATAATATTAATAATTTAATAGAATCTATATTTTAAATACCCAGGCCTTGCTATATACTAGAAAGATAAGGATTAGTCTATATCTATACAATACCAGTACTTTGATTCTACACCTAGCTGACCTTTTTCCTTTACAATATGCCAGAAGGTCAAACTTGAAAATGAGATCGAAGATTAGTACTAGTACGGGCATATGAGTCAACAGGTTCAAAGTTGATTGATTTCAAAACATAAAATATTGTGTAAAGAAAAAAAAGAGAAACGCCGAAGTACTGAGTGATGATACCAAGTAGTAATGACAGACTAAATATTAAACATTCTTGTGAATCAGACATCAACATCCCGAAGAGAGCGCTTCGTCAACAGCGTCAGTTGCGAGAACAAAGTCGGATTCCCCAAGACATCCTCAACACTAAGGACATATCCTTGCCTCTCCATGTGAGCTGATATCAGACTAGCGCTTACCAAGTCACCACCAAGATCAAAAATTGTCTTGCCAGCTTTCACCTCAGGACTAAGGCGGCAATTGAAAGTGTCCCTCCACGCACTCTCAAGCGACGATTTCATTTCAGTCGGGCTAATGCTAGCAACCATTAACTGTTCATTTGTTGGGGTTGCACTGAGAGGCTTCTCTGAGGGCAGCGATGTGCTTGTCCGCAGATATCTGATCTGGTCGGGAGATAACAAAGGCTGGTCCATGACATTGCAGAAAACGATGATAGACTCCGTCAGTTTCGCAGCCAGCAGTTCAGCGTCACGCTCAGATACCACGCCATGTGCGAAGTCCAGCTCAATTCGGAACATGTTGTTATCAGGCTTAGAAGTGATATGAACGTCGGTCATGTCCACTTTGCCGTGAGACAGATCTAGCTCCTGCTCAACGTGCATACTGCGGTTATGAGCAATATATTCTCCATCGTCAAAGTCATGGTGATAAATGATGGATCCTGCATATGTCCACTTTGGCCATGTAGTACAGTCACGGACAATTTCGCGTGTGCCTATATTCTCGTGCTCCATGCTCGCAATCTGTTGCGTGTTTAATGCACTGAGAAGGTCGCCAACAGTCCATCCGTCGGTAAAGGATACTCGAGTAGGAATGATGTTCACGCAGGCTCCAAAGACATCTTGTGTCCCGGGCAGACCCCGACCGTGAGTGAGGTTACAGAAAACCACGTCGTCGTTGGCAAGGTGTTTTGCCAGAACGTACGCCCAAGCAGCCTTCAGTACAGTAGAAAACGTAAATCCAGTACCTTGAGCAATGCTCTTAGGAACATGTCTGGCGACACATGGTCCTTCGCCAAAGGTCAGGGCATATGAAGCATGGGGCTTGAGGTTCGTCATGCTAGAGCCCTTGAGGAGTCTTCGCCAGTAAAACTTAGCTTGCTCCCGGTTTGTACCAGCCACCGCATGCAGGTAGTTGGAGAAACTAGCCTTGGACTTTTCTTGGAAGCTAGTGTCCGAAGGAATGTGCAATGAGTCGTCACTTCCGTCATCGTACATTTCTTCAAATGCGTTCCACATCTTCATCAAGCTGATTCCGTCATGTTGAGCATGGGAAATGCGGACCACGAGACGGTATTCATTGTCGCGGATTTGATGCAAAATAGCAATCTTTGTTAGGAGCGAGCCATAACGGAGCTCATCGTCCCTGTCGCGTAATCGTAGCTCTTCTGTGCATTCCTCTAGGCTGGCATTCTCAATTCTCAAGACGGTTATATCCACAGGAAAGGCCTTCAGCACGACCTGCAAGAAGCTGTCTTTATGTGCGATGAAAAGGGTTCGCATGAGATCATATCTATTGACCAGCTCATTGCACACTGCTCGCATCTTGCGCATATTTGGCACGCCCTTGCTATCTAAAGTGTGATAGAGGAGCAAGTCGCGGGACGCAGAGTGAGTCATCGCGATGGAACGAGCTTGATGATCCGTGACAGGGAGGATGTCTTCAACATTACCCAAGTCAATACCCAGATCAAAGAGTCGAGAGAGTATCTGGTCTTTGTTGTGATGTTTGGACAGAAGCGAAGTGGGTTGAAATACCCGTGGCTCTTCCGACTGCGTCTTATCCACAGAACGAAGCAAAGCAGCCATTTCGCTGAACTTAGGATGCTTGAAAATATCTACAACAGAAAGCGATAGTCCGTGGTCACGGGCCGCGCCTACCAGCCTCATAGCACCGATGGAATCCCCACCAAGTTCGAAGAAGTTGTCTGCAGTGCTAATCTTTCGCGATCCTAATTTGAGAACTGAGATCCAGAGCTCCCGAAGTGCCACTTCCAAAGGAGTAGTGGGGGGTTGATATTGCTGTTGAGCTTGGTTGATTGAGGTAAGCTGCTCCAGGGTGAGGCTTGAGGCCATTTCACGTAGTCGGCGCCGATCAGTCTTCCCAGTAGCTGTTGTGGGAAAAACAGTAACAGGGATGTAGACCGAAGGAATCATATAAGATGGGATTTGTGTCGCGAGTTTCTCCCTAATTCCCTCGGTCGCCGCTTTCGTGCGGGCAAGAAGCTTTTCATCATTCAGGTTGATAGAATTCAGGTCGTCAAAGCTCACGAAGGCGACAAGTATGTTGTTGGAGCTAGCTTGGGGTGACACAACCTCGACCGCAACCTGAGCACTGTCATGACTCACCAGGTTTGCAGAAACGTGCGACTCGATGTCGCCTAATTCCACGCGTTGCCCGTTTATCTTGATTTGAGAGTCCCTTCGGCCCACAAATGACAAGCTACCATCGGTATTATAGGCGACTAGATCGCCCGTCCTGTACAGACGACCACGGCGGCCTGGAATTCCTGGACCAGCGCCTTTGACTAGGAATTCTGGGTTTTCAATAAATGCTGAGGCGGTTTTGACAGGGTCTCCGAGATAGCCAGCACCAACAAGCGGACCTTCGAGTAATAACTCACCAGGGATGCCAATAGGCATCAAATGTTGTGCAGTAGCAGGATCAACAATCCAAGTATTGAGTCCCACTCCTTTGCCGATGCTCACTTTGCCCTTGCTTAATTCCGCAGAATTGATCTCAGTGATTGTCGACGTCGGTGTGCATTCGGAAGGCCCGTACGGATTACGCACGCTTGTCAGGGCGGACCAGCGTTGGGCATATTCAAGCGAGAGCTTCTCGCCTCCCAGAACAATGGTATCCAATTTAGCCAACGTACTGGCAGGTAAGACGCTTGCGGCCGAGGGGGTCATATCAACGTGTGTACACCGTAAGCGGTCAATTGCGCCCGCTGGGTCATTGTTACGATCATCATCAGAAGGAATGCATAAGCAGGCCCCAATGGTCAAGGTGTGCAAGAAGTTGGACCAGCTGACATCGAACGCATAAGAGGCAAAGTCAAAGACCCTAGAGGATGGCTTGAAGCCGTGTTCGCTCTGCTGATGCTTGATGGCGCTGCTGTAGTTGGTATGAGTGATGATGACACCTTTTGGCGTGCCAGTGCTCCCTGATGTGAAGACAATGTAAATACTGTTTGCGGGATCGACTGCAGCCAGCGGTGTATTATCAGCCATCGCCCCCATGCTGGCTTTGTCTATAGCCAAGACGGTAGCCGTTGTGAGCCTGGCTGCTAGCTCAGCCTTCAATGTCGAAGAGATCACAAGTTTAGCATCCACCTGTGCAACAATAGACTGGAGCCGTTCTTCAGGCTGGCTCGTATCCATCGTAACAGAGGCTGCACCTGTTTTCATAACTGCTAGCATGGCAACTGGTGTCCATTTTGACTTTTCAAAACATATCGGGACGATGCTGCCACTTCCGATGCCCATCTTGCTGAGGCTATTGGCAAGGCGTGTTGCAAAGCTATCCAGCTCCGCATAGGTGAAATCGCCGTCCCATGAGCAAACAGCTGGCGCATCCGGCTGGCGGAATACCATCTTGGAGATCAGATCGTGAACGCAGATGTTGGCCATGTCAGGAACAGTGGAGTTCCAGCTCCAAATATCTTGCTCATCTTGGTGACCGATCAGAGCAGGTGGCTCATTGTGAAGAATAGCGGCAATGTTTGACTCCAGATGCTCCAGAATGCGTTTTGCCTGATTACTGGTGAGACAGCTGTGGGAGAATTCAAGGTCAATTTCGATGGAGCTGGTTCCTTGGTTGATACCCAATACGATGTCGTACTATAAAAACATTAGTCCAGATGTATACACTCTCATGCACCACAATCCACTGACTTCTGTTGGGTCCAAACCATCAATATTCTTGAATCGAAGTTTACCCTCCTCAGCTGATTGTTCATTATCGTCTCCTGACCTCTGAAAAGAGACAATAGAGTTGAAAAGCTGCTGATCGGACGCCAGTCCAAGCTCATGTTGAATGCTAGCAAGCGATATATGTTGGAAGCTCAAGTCCTGCATTAATTGATCCTGAAATTGTCGCACGAGTGCCACACCAGGCTGTCGCCCATCCAAATCGGCACGGCAGACCATGATGTTAGTGTAAGCGCCGACAGATTCGTCCATTCCGGCGATTGGGAGGTCTCGACCAGATGCCAGATAGCCAAAGCAGACAGATTGACTTTGTACGTAGGTCGAGAGTGTCAAAGCCCAGGCGCTCTTGAGGAGACTTGCTGGCGTGACCTGGTTTATGCTACAGAAGTCTTGAATCTGCGCAAACATCTTGTCTTCGACAAAAACTCCAATCTCCGAGCTACACTCGTGCTTCTCCCGAGACGGGCTCGATAGGGATGGAAAGCGGCAAGGTTCAAGGCCCTTGAGTTTTGTGTTCCAATACGAAATTATTTGGGACTGTGGCTTAGCCAGCAAGTGGCTAGCGAATTCGCGTGTTGTTTTGACAAGGTCTGTTGACGACAGCCTATCACCATAGGCGTCAATCAGATCCTTGATCAAAATGCTGGAAGAGGCACCATCAGTAATAGCATGGCTCATTTCTATCTGACAAAAGACTTTGTCATCCGGCGTTTGACAAAGAGCGAGGCGATGAGGAGGTTTGGCCTGTTGGTAATTGACTTTCGGAAGCGAGGAAAAGGCTTTCAGGGCTTCCTCTTCAGTTTTAGCCTCAACAACGACAACATCCCCGGAGCACTCTTTGAGAAGGGCCTGGTAAAAGGCGGTAGATCCGTCAAGGCCAGCGATGAAAACTGTCCTCAGGGCAGGCTGGCGAGAAATTACCTTTTGCCAAGCAACTTTGAGGGTGTCGAGACAGATAGGATGGTCATGAGACGACAACACCTCGTATTGTTGAAGTGTCTTGTATGATTCTGGCTGCTTTATCTGACTGAGGAGCATTCCATCGACAATCGGAGAGCACGAGAAAATCTCCTCAACAGTTGAATGGTTGATTGACTCGATCTCCGGAAGTAGTCGACTGGTAAGATCGTCAAGGCGCTGGTAGTCGAGACTGATAAACTTGAAGTCACACAGCGTATGCGTTGGGTTGGCCTCGAGAAGGACGAGGCAAATCTTTTCCAAAGAGGGTTGAATCTGGTCAATCCACTGGTTAATCAAGCTCTGATGAGCGATATTTTGATTGACGGAGAATTCAAAGCGCGCTTGCATTGCTTCAATGGCAACCTCGATGTTAAACAAAGACCCTGCAGATATTGAGCGACCTTGCTCACGTACATCGACAAGATCAATGTCTTCAAAAAGTGCTTGATGACTTTCTAGTTGTTGGAATTGGCCATGATAATTGAAAACAACTTCAGATACTGTGTTATGGCTTTCAAAAGCTCTTTGCCCGTCGGGGTTCAGATATCGGGAGGTGAAGTAAGCCCAGCCGTTCGCGGGAAGGCTGCGGCGGGCATCCTTGACGAGCCGCACCATGTCGGTCTCGCTGGTGGCATCATTTCTATAGATGTTGATGGGACTGAGTGTGGTAAACCATCCAACAGTGCTCGACAAGTCAATTTCGTCAGACCACGCTTCGCGACCATGACCTTCGTTGAATATGGTCAGGCTGTTGCGCTGGGGAAACGTCCGAAGGAATGCATCCCAAACAGCCGATAAAAGGATCTCTACTGGCTCTGTGTTCATGGCTTTGTTTGCCTCGCCCAGTAGTACAGCCGTAGTTTCTCGATCAATGGTGACCGATCGGAGCCTGTGGTCTGCCAAGCAGTTGGGCGTGTCGTGCGTATACTTCCAAAACTTGAGATTGTTATGGACGCCGTCAGTCGACAGCAAGTTGTGAGGCTCCAAAGTGGAAGATACAGCCCGCTCAGCTTGCAGCCTGCTCCACACTTGGAAGGGTAGAGCGGCCGTTAGGGAATGGCCGTTGAGAATAGTCTCCAGATCATCTAAGATAATCCGCCAGGAGACCAAATCGGTAACCAAATGATGGGCTATCATGACCAAATACTGCTGCTGGCCTAGTAAGCAAATATCAACCGAGAAGACAGGACCTTTCTCTATGTCAATCTGTCGGTGCCGCTCTTGAGCTAACGATGCAATCTCGCTCATGGACAGGTGCTGCGATAGGTTCAAATGAAGAGCTCGTTTGCTGTGACTGAGGATTATTTGCTTCCATTTGCCCCCATGATGCTGGAATCGCGAGCGTAACATCGCGTGCCGATTGACCAGAGAAAGAAAGGCTGATTCTAGATCATTGATTCCCACTGTGCGCCTGAGTCTCACATAGAATCCTTGGTTGTAGAATCTGTCATGCTTCTGCTGGCTCATAAATGGCGATTGGTCAAAGAACCACTGCTGGATGGGTGATAGTTCGAAAGGAACGTCAGTATGCTCTTCCTGGCTGACTCCGGTAATGGCTGTTGCGCCCGAAAATGCTGCGAAATCCGCGAGGGTTTTACTTTGAAGGAGTGTTGGGACTGAGATGGGAATTCCCGCAGTTCTGTAGTGGGATGCAAGCCTCATGGCGGCAATGGAATCTCCACCATTCGCAATAAAAGATTTGTCGAGATTGATCTTGTCGACGGGCATATTAAGGACAATACTGCATTTCTCGCTGAGAGCTCTTTCGCCTTCCGTGTCTGGTTTTCGGATAATGTCGCTACCGTTCGCATTGTTGATTTTAGAAAAGAGCGTTTCATCCATATTTTCCAGCCAGAATTTGAGTGCCTTATTGTCTTGCTTTCCCGATGCGGTCATAGGGAGGTTGTACAAGACCACCCACAGAGATGGAATCATGTACTGCGGCAAAGACTCGCGCAAGAGCGATTGAAGGGCCTCAATGTGCTCATTGATGAGTTGGTCATGTTCCGAAGATGCCAGCTCAATCTTGTTTTCGGCGAGGTCCTCGCTAACATCATAGTTCACATCTGTGAGGCTGATCATAGCTACCAGCTTGCTTGCACAGAGGCCAGTGCTAGGCAATAGGGTCGCCACTTGTCGGGTCGCTGGGTATAGAGCCATATGACTCTCAATCTCAGCAAGCTCTACTCTCTGGCCATTGATCTTGACTTGTGTATCTTTCCGACAAACAAAAGTGAGACTGCCATCTGAGTTGTATCGCACAATGTCACCCGTCTTGTACAGCGTGCCGCGTCGTCCAGGTTGCGCGACAACGTTGCCGCGGAGCAAAAATGGTGGGTCATGGATAAAAGCAGCATTCGTTTTCTTTGCATCACCAAGATAGCCAGCACCGACAAGCGGCCCCTCCAAGAACAGCTCGCCGACGCCTCCAATGGGAACGAGCGACTGCCCCGTCACAGGATCAACCACCCAAGTGTTGAGACCAGCAGGCTTACCAATGCTAGCACCAAGATCGTATCCACGCCTCATGCCCTCGGTAAATGTGGCAGTTGGAGTGCACTCGCTTGGTCCGTATGAGTTTTTGACTGTCACAAACTGGGACCACTTTGTTGCGTACTCCGCTAGGAGACGTTCGCCACCTAAAGTGAGGGTATCAAGCTGCTGAAGTGACTCTTTGGACAGGACTAGTGCTGCCGAAGGCGTAAGGTCGGCGTGAGTGGGCTTCAGTCGCGCAATTGAACCGTTTAGATTATCCTTTCTGTCAGCATCGGATGGGATACAGAGACAAGCGCCGCTCTCAAAGGTCAATAGCGCATTGGCCCATGCGACGTCAAATGCATATGAAGCAAAGTCATAGACACGCGAGATTGGAAGGATGCCTTGAGCTTCTTTCTGGTGTTTAATTGCACTGGCAAAATTGCAATGTCGAATTATAACACCCTTCGGGACACCCGTACTACCAGAGGTGAAGACCAAATACAGTCTGCTGGACGGATCGACAACTGGAAGTGTAGCATTAAGGCTAGGTTTTAATAAGGAGTCAATACCTTGGCCATTGACAACGAAGCTTTGCGCCTTTGTCAGACTCCGGACAAGAGGCAACTTATCAGCTGAGCTTAGCGCGACTGTGGGATTTGCCTGGTCGATAATCATGCGAAGTCGGTCTTTGGGCTGACTGGTATCGATAGCCACCGACGCCGCTCCTGCTTTCATGACACCAAGCATCGCGATTGGCATCCACTTGGACTTCTCGAACAACAGTGGTATGATGTCCTGAGAGCCAACACCAAGGCCGACGAGGTGGTGCGCAACATAATTTGACAGGTCATCCAGTTGACGGTAAGTCCAGTTGCCGTCCCATGCGCATACAGCTTGCACATGCGGCAGTCTGCGTGCCACAGAGGAGATGAGCTCATGAACAGGCGTGTTGACTGACTCGGGAACTACAGCATTCCACTCCCAAATATCTTCCATGTCTTGTCTGCTGGTGGTATCAATATCAGAAACGGCAAGGCCACTGCCAGAGCAGCATATTTGACGAAGCACGTGCTCAAACTGCTTTGTAAATCGCTTGACCTGTAGTTCATCGATTACATTGGAATCAAAGTTGGCCTTTATGAGCAATTTGTCGGGTCCGAGATGGCATTCGAGAGTAAGGGCATATGTTCCAACCTCTTGAATGCCCATAGGATTATCAGATCCTTCTCCGATATCACGGGCAATTATATCGCTCTGCCACTGGGCTGTCTCTTCTGCTGGCTGGACAATGAGAAGTGACTGGAAGTCACAGGCCCGTTCGGCGTCAGGACTTGACTTCCGTATTTGCTGCAGACCAAACTGTTCAAACGCTATCATGTCAATGGACTGATGCTGCATCTGTGTGAGGAAGGCTTGGAGACGCTGCTCGCGGTCAATGCGAACACGAACTGGCACTGTCGCAATAGTCGGACCTATCATTCTTTCTACTCCAGGGAGCCCAACCTGCCGACCGTTGGAAGTCACGCCAAAGCAAACGTCTTCTGAATTGGTGTAGGCCGCCGTCAAAAGTGACAGTGCCGCACGCACCAACGTAAAAGCAGTGACATTAGTCTTGGGCCACTGCAACTCTTCAACTGTGTGCAAAATGGTCTTTTCAGACTTGGGCACGAACGTGGCAGTTGGTAAGGAGGGAAAAGTGGGTGCCTCTGAGCCTTGGAGTTGGTCTTTCCAAAACTTGGCAGCCGCGTCGTTGTCGAGACCGGAAATGTGCTTGACGAAGTGTCTGAAATCCGGGCTTTCATGCCTGGAAGACCCAGCATAAAAATTTTCGAGCTTTTCGAAGACCAGGTTCAGCGCCCAGCCATCATATACTGCATGATGCAGAGTCAAAACAAAAAAGTGTTTGTTCGTCTCTTGCACTAGTCCGAATCGCACCAAGGGCATACCCAAACCAGTTGTCTTCTCATTATCAGCAGCCATGAAGTCTACCAAGCTGGAGGCTTCTGCCGATGTCCACTGTGCTGGTTGTTTGATGACAGCTTGCACCAAACCTTGTTCCGCGATGTCTACAATCCGAGTTCGTAGTATTGGGGTGCTCTCCAACACCGCCTGCCAAGCGGCGCAGAATTTTTTGACGTCTGTTGATCTCTTCAGTTCCAAAATGCACCGGATAATGTAGTCGCCGGGGCGCTTTGTTGTCAGCGCCAGCAAGCCCTCTTGCAGGGGTGTGCAAGGATACAAGTCTTCAACTTGGTTACCGTCCACGCCACATAAAGCGGATGTCTCTGCAACGGCCCTGTCGACATCAGAGCCAGGTTTGAGGAGAGAGAATTCCTTGATCGAAATATCCTGCGACGGCTCTGTTCGTATCATAAGTTTTGCCATATCACTTAGTTTCGGGTTCTTGAGAATATCAGCCACGTCCAGCGTGAAACCAAGTTCCCGGGCAGAACTCGCTAAGCGTATTGCGCCCACGGAATCACCACCGACGCGCATGAAGTTGTCGTGTGCACCGATCAAACTACTTTCAACTCCTAGCACAGTCCCCCATAGGATCTGCAGCTGTATCTCCATCTCTGTGCCAGGTTGACAACGATCAGGACCGTGGGAGTCAGTTGAAATGAGCTGGTCCCAGGTAACATCTTTGGCCATCTCGCGTAAACGACGGCGGTCTGTCTTGCCTGTCGCTGTGACAGCAATTTTCTGCAAGTGAATATAAGCGGATGGTATCATATATGCAGGGATTCGAGCAGCAAGACTCTCATCCAGCGATATGGCTGTGCGCTTGGCTAGGCTTAGCAGATCGGCCTCACCCATGCCCTCAGTGACAGTAGGTCCGAAGTAAACAAAAGCTACAAGCATTGGACGTGAGCTTCCTTGCGGTGTTACAAACTCGACTAAAGCTTGACCTTCACTGAAGTCCGGTAGCAGCGCCCCGTTTATGTGAGACTCAATATCACCGAACTCAACTCGCTGTCCGTTGATCTTGACTTGCGAATCCTTTCGGCCAAGGAAAGTCAAAGTACCGTTGGAGTTATACCGAACAATATCTCCGGTTTTGTATAGGCGGCCACGTCTGCCAGGTTGACCCACCGATCCACGCAGAAGAAATGGCGGGTCATATACGAATGCGGCAGCTGTTTTGACAGCATCATCCCGGTAGCCGGCGGCGACTAATGGGCCTTCAAGTAGAAGCTCTCCCGCACTGCCAATTGGTACAAGAGCCGTACCAGTGGCTATGTCCGCGACCCAGGTATTTAGACCCGCTCCCTTGCCAATTGTAATTGACTGATGCTGTCTGCCGCAAATGGTTTGTACTGTGCTGAATGTTGTACATTCAGTGGGGCCATATAGGTTGGATATCTTGACACTTTCGTCAACTGATCTAAAAGTGTCAACATGTAAAGGTTCGCCGATGAAGTGGAGGTTGCATAGGCTGTTCAGAGCGTCAAGCTTCAGGCCGCGGATAGCAGAAGGTGTCAATATGACAAGGTTTGCCCTCATCCTAACAATAGCGGCCATAAAGTCAGTTTTTCTTTCATTGTCGCTCGGGATGCAAAGGCAGCTTCCAGCAGAAAGACCCTGTAGTAAGTTGCACCAGACAACATCAAACATATAGGAAGAAAAGTCGAATACCCTAGATTCAGAAGTGAACCCAAGCGAGTGTCGCTGGTGTTTGATCGCACTGGCAATGTTGGAGTGAGTAACTGCCACTCCCTTTGGCACCCCTGTACTACCGGATGTGAATACCACATAGAGCGTATCACTGGGGTTGACATGGGGAAGTTGGCTTCCACTCGGAACATTCAAAATTTCCAATTCTTTGTCGCTTATTGTGAGGACTTTGGTGGGGCTGGGAAGCTCGCTGATTAGTCGGCTTGCAAGCTGTTCGTTGGCAAATGATGACAAGATAATAGGTGACTTCACTTGATTTACGATTGCTCGCAGGCGTTCCTCTGGTTGGGTTGAGTCCATGGCAACAGATGCGCCTCCTGCCTTCATGACAGCCATCATTGCTATGGGTGTCCACTTTGACTTTTCGAAGCAAAGCGGGACAACCACTTCAGGGCCAACACCGTAGGAGACTAGAAGGTGGGCAAGTCTATCTGACAGCTTATTGACTTCAGCATAGGTCCAATCGCCATCCCATGCACAGATTGCCGGAGCTTGGGGGCGTTCATGACAAGTTCGCGTGATGATATGATGCACACAATCGTCGACAGTGACTGGCACGTCTGAGTTCCATTGCCATATGTCAGATATATCTTCAGTGCTGACCATGTTGACGCTTCTTAAAGTCTGATGATCTCCCGAAGCATGCTGAACTAGAGCGGCAGCTGTAGATTGCATGAGTGAAAGTATGCTCTCTGCCTGGATGCTTGAAAGACAGGCGTGGTTATAGTCAAAAACAATTTCGATGTGGTCGGTAGCGTGCCCAATATTCAACACAATGTCGTACTAGGATTTGTCAGAATCCGTAAAAGAACTTTGACATGCGATACAACGTACCTCTGTGGGATCCTGTCCGTCCAAGGCCTTGATGACAAAACCCTCGTCTCCTGCCGGCTCATCGTCCTGCTTCTGATATGATAGGATGGAGTTGAAAAGAGGGTTATCGGAATTTATGCCTAGTTCATGCTGGATGCTTGCTAGTGAGCAGTGCTGGTGCTCCAGATCCTGCATAACTTGATCATGAACAGTCCGAACAAATTGAAGTATTTCAGTTTCTCGGTTAATATTGACTCGACAAACCAACATGTTTGTAAATGCACCGATAGATTTATCGATACCAGCAATAGGCAAGTCGCGGCCAGATGCTAGATACCCAAAGCATGTCGAGTCGTTGCCGGTATAGGCGGCCAGAGTAAGTGCCCATATGCTCTGAAATAAACTGGCCGTCGTGACTTCTACTGAATTGCAGTAATCCTGGATTTTGCTAAACAGAGAGCCACGAATTGTGCAGACGGATGTACCGGTGCCTTGTGTTGAAGCACCCGAAATTTTGGGGAAGTGGCAGGGATCCATTCCCGAAAGCTTTTTCTTCCAGTATGACAGTTTTTCCCCAAAAGAGGAAGTGAGTTGGGCCCGAGCAAACTCACATGCTGTGTCCATGAGATTTATTGGCATCGAGTTGCCGTTGTATGCCTGGAGAAGATCATTGGCCAAAATAGACGTCGATGCACCGTCTGTGATGGCATGACTCATCTCAACCTGGCAGAGTACTCTACTAGGTGAGATTCGACACAGCGCGACTCTGTGAGGAGGCTTGAAGCTCTGATAATTGATTGGGGTTAGATTCTTGAACATCTCCAAGGCTTCGGTGTACTCGTCGCTGGCAGTATGCAGGATGATGAGCTCGGCGTGGTACTGAGACAGCACAACTTGATTGAATGCAGCGGCTTTGTCCGTGCCAGGGATAAAGACGGTTCGTAGGGCAGGTTGATTGGCAACCACTTTTTGCCATGCTAGAGAAAGACGCTCTAGGTCGATTTGGTCGTCGATGTGGGAAGTAATCTCGAAATGTTGCACTGTTTTATACGATTCTGGGTCTTTGAATTGGCTGATCAGAATACCATCAACTGTGGGAAGACAGCGGTAAATGTATTCTACTGTGGAATCATTTAGCTTCTCGATTTCTGGGATGACACTTTCCTGTAATCGATTCAGCTCCGTATATCCGAGGCTCAGAAATTCGTAGTCGCAAAGCGTGCGATGTGAGGTTTCTGTAGACACAAGCTCGTTGGAAATGGTCTCCAATGACTGTGAAATTGCTTTGATCCAATTTGAAATACCATCCTGGTGATTGATGTAGCGGTTGGCAGAAATGTCGAAGGTGACCTGCCCTCGATCTATCGAGACTTCGACAGCAATCAAGGAAGAGGCGGGAAGAGCTGGTCCTTGCTCGCAGACTCCACTGAGCGTAACCTTTTCAAACATCCCCTTCTCGTTCTCCAGCTGTTGAAATTGGCCATGATAGTTAAAGGTTATTTCCATAATAGAGTCGTGCGATTTGAACGCCGATTTTCCCGATTCATTGAGATATCGCGAAGCAAAGTAAGCCCAGCCATTTGCAGGCAGGAGCCGCCGCGCATCTTTGACAACGCGCACTAGACTTGCGACAGACTGGTATACGTCGCTCTTTGACACATGGATGGGGCTGATGGTAGTAAACCAGCCGACAGTGCGGGAAAGATCAATATCCGAGGACCACGACTCGCGACCATGTCCTTCAATAAAAATGGTGAGACCGTCTCTTTGGGGGAACGTCTTGAAGAATGCATGCCAAACAGCCGCAAGAAGGAGGTCCATAGGTTCAGTGTTGAACGGGTAATTTGCGTCTTTGAGGATGAGCTCTGTAATGCTGCTGTCGATCTTGGTACAGAAGTTTAGGTGATCTTCGACGGTGTTCTTGGTTTCTGCTGTGGCTTGCCAGAAATCAAGGTTGTTATTGATTCCAGTGGTCGAAAGAACATTTTCAGGATCAAGTAGGCTCGATTCCTTCGCCCGCTCAATTTGCATATCATTCCAGACTTGAAATGGAAGACTTGGTTGCAAATTACTACCACCGAGTAGAGATTCTATGTCCTCCAGAATGACACGCCACGAGACTAAATCAACAACAAGATGGTGAGCAATCAGGATCAGGTACTGTTCTCCAAACGCATTATGGCAAATGTCAGCAGAGAATACTGGCCCCTTTTCGATGTCGAGACTCTGGTGGCGTGATAGAGCTAGTCGCTCTATATCAGCTGGAAGGCACGTGTGATGGACACCAAAGTGATATAAACCATTGGTGTCAGGCTTAAGCGTTTTTTGGGTCCACTCGTCGCCGTTCCGATGAAAGCGAGCTCTCAACATAGAGTGATGCTGAACAACTTTGGAAATCGCCGAGTCAATATCCTTTGTCAATAATGGGCGCTTAACCTTGAGATAAAATCCTTGATTGTCGAAGTTGTCATTGGATCTCTTGTAGAGACCTTGTTCAAAGAACCACTGTTGGATAGGCGACAACGCAAAAGAGTCACTTTTCTCCTCATAGAAGCCCAACATGTTGGAAGCTGACTTGATTTCTGATGATGAGGCCAAAGCGGCCAAAGTTTTGCTCTTTAGCAATTTAGCCACCGAAAATACGACGTTGTTCGCGCGACAATGAGCAACGAGCCTCATGGCGGAGATGGAATCACCACCATTCGCAATGAACGACCGATCCAGGTTCACCTTCGATGCTGTAATGTTGAGAATTGTAGCGCAAGCCCCTACTATGACCTGTTCCAATTCTGTCTCAGCCTTGCGAAGCTCCACGTCGCCATCAGACGCAGTTAAAATATTGGCAAACGTCTTAGAGTCCATGCTATCAAGCCATGATTTCAAAGCTTTGTAATCGAGCTTTCCGGACGTTGACAACGGAACATGCTGGAGTGGAATCCAAATTGAGGGAATCATATAAGTAGGAAGAGTGTCGCTAAGACTAGACTTTGCGGACTCGGTGTAAGCAGTAGCAAGGGTCGAATACTTGGGATCGATGAGTCGAATTTGATCGGCGGCTGTCTGAGTTTGGCCAGTTCCCTGGATGCAGACAAATGCAACTACCCTATTTGCACACAGCCCTGACTTGGCAAACAAAACAGCCACCTGGATAGTCTTAGAAGTGCGACGAATGTGGCTCTCAATCTCGGTCAACTCGACACGCTGGCCATGAATCTTGACCTGAGCGTCCTTGCGCCCAACGAAACTAAGACTTCCGTCCGGGTTGTAATGAACCAGATCGCCAGTCTTATACATTCTGGTATGTCTTGCTTGACCTTGAGGGCATATTTGCAAAAGGAACTGAGGGTCTTGCACAAAGGAAGCGGCCGTCTTTGTGTCATCGCCGAGGTACCCTGCGCCAACGAGAGGCCCCTCGAGCAGGAGCTCTCCGACTCCGCCGACTGGAACTAAAGAATCTGTAACAGTATCCACAATCCATGTATTCAGACCCAGTCCTCTTCCAATACTGGATTTGTACTCATCGGTGGGTGTTACCGTCGCAATGGTAGCCGTGGGCGTGCATTCACTGGGACCGTATGGGTTCTTGAGGCTGACCAGTGAGCTCCAGCGCTGTGCGCTCTCTACAGAAAGCTTCTCGCCTCCGAGTACAACCGTCTCAAGCCTTTTGAATGACTTCTCTGGGAGCAAGCTTGCTGCGGAAGGCGTCATGTCAACATGGGTAGCGCCGAGCCTCTCCAACGACCCGGCCAAGTCATCACGGCGGTCCTCATCTGACGGAATACACAAGCAGGCACCAATAGTAAGTGCATGTATGAAGTTAGACCAGCTAACGTCAAACGCGTATGAGGCAAAGTCATAAATCCGAGATGTCGATTTGAAACCATGAGCTTCTTGTTGGTGTCGGATGGCACTGCTAAAGTTAGAGTGTGTGATAATAACGCCCTTAGGAACACCCGTGGTGCCAGATGTGAAAACAATATATAGTTTGCTGGACGGATCAACGGTGGGAAGAGGCTCGGCGGTGATGTGCATAGTAGAAATGGAATGTTGGTCAACAACAAGGTTTGGAGCTCTAGTGAGTTGGACACCCAAGTCCTGCTTAGACGCCGATGACAAGATCACTCGAGGGTCAGTCTGGGAGACAATGGACCGTAATCTTTCCAGAGGCTGAGAGGCATCGAGGGTGACTGACGCTGCCCCGGCCTTCATCACAGCCAGCATTGCCACTGGCGTCCATTTTGACTTTTCAAAGCATATAGGTACAACTGTGTTGGCAACGCCAAACGGAGCAAGCGCGTGTGCAAGACGGCTAGACAAATCATCAAGCTCGATGTAAGTCCACTCACCATCCCAAGCACAAATAGCAGGGGATTGAGGCTGAGCTCTTACTGTGTCCGAGATGAGATCGTGGACACAGGCCTCGAGGGCGCCTGGGACAATTTCATTCCAAGTCCAGATGTCATGCAAGTCCTCTTTGCAGACGGTGGAAACATCTCCCAAAGTTATTTGCTTTTCTTCTCCCTGTTGCTTGCGCTGCAAAGGCCAATTGCTCAGCGATTGAGATGGCCGTTCTTGATGATCTGTGGGGAAGTTGAACAAAGTCCTGCTGGTTCGGTCTCCTCGTGAATGGTGTCGGTGGAATATGGCATCCAAGCCACCGCGCTGAGAAAATTGCCGACTCCAGCTGATCTCCACTTGCCATCCTGTTTGGTGAGCTATTTGTTGCAGATCGAGAGCCGAGAGTGACGAGCATTCTTGTGATGTTTGGCGGATAGAAGAGAGCCAGTCCTCAGCATCGGGACCGGCAGTGAGGCCACTATCAAGCCATTCAAGCACGTGCCTCTCGTAGACTGTCATGCTATAAGGTATATTGCATACGGCCACAACTGATGAGGGGGACGGGTCTCGTAAGAAAGAATCTTGTACAAGTTGTAACAGCGACTGACGATTGAGTTGACGCCCGGAATAGTGAATCCAGCTCTCTTTCTGGATATCGTGGAGTTGTAATGGCTGAGCCAGTGGGTTTGAGTCTTTGAGATGCACGACGGCAGCGTATCGATAGGCACTCAGCTCGTTCGTCGACTTCAATCTTTTCGGAAGAATCTCCACATGTTCGACAAGTCCAGGGAACCGGTCGACTAAGGATGTGAAAAAAGCGGGATCTACCAGCAACTCCAGCTCGACTTGCTCCATGTTGGCCATCATCTGTCGGATCTCGTCCTCGGTTGCAGTATCTCCTGCAATATGCAGCGCCCTGGTAACCTGGAACTCTCGAAACAGCGCGTAGGAGCGAATATCGCCGAAAAAGATCGTGCGGACTGTTTCCAGCTGAACTAGGTCCTCAATTACTTTGAGCAGATAGTCTTGACTGGGAAAGTACTGGACGACAGAGTTCACGATGACCATGTCAGCAGAGATGGGTACGCCTAGGCTGTTGATGTTGTCTGCTGTTCCTTTTATATTATAGACACGGTCGGCCAACTGGGGAATGGATTTAACTGTGGAACAAACGAAGTCCACGGCCTTTTCGGACGGATCAAGTCCAACATAACTGTGCAGGCCGTTGACGAGATTGAACAAGATCATTCCACTGCCGGACCCCAGCTCGAGTATGTTGGCTGTCGATCCGCTGCTGCGTATTGTGGCAATAGTATCGTCAAGCCACTCGTTCAATTCGACATTGTCCATTTGGTTGCCATTGTACATGGACGTCCATCCGATGAAGTCGCGCCCAATCTTCTCCAATTGGACATCATCAATAGTTCCATAGACCTCCTTATCGAACATTCCCTCCCATACCATGACTTGCTGCGTTTCGTGGCCAGCGACTGCCTTGGCATCGTCGGGTAGCTTAGTGTGCTCGGTGCCTCCATTAACTTGGACTTCTGAGTCGTTCATGAGCTGCTCTTCTCCATAAACCTGCTGGCCACTGTCACAAGCCTTCTTTGCAACGTCTTGCAATTTCGGGCGACGGAATATGTCTGACACAGCCAGTCTCAAGCCAAGCTTGCGAGCTTCAGTCACAACTTCCATGGCAGCAATAGAGTCGCCGCCGAGTTGGAAAAAGCTGTGATCTAGCCCAATTGATGCTTGATTATGGTTGAGTACCTGTGCCCAGATTCGCTGCATCTGCCGCTCAGTTTCCGATGTTGGCTGCCGCAGCGATTCAAGTGTTGTTCTCTGTCTGTGAATTATCGCCATCAGATGACATATTTGACCAAGGACATGCTCAAACTGCTGTGACAAACGGCGCACTTGATGCTCCGATATGACCGCGGAACAATAGTTCATATGGAGGTCAAGGCCATCTTTCTTGAGCAGACACTCCATAGTCAAGGCGTAAGTCCCCAGCTCTGCGGCGCTGTTTCCATCTCCTTTCCTTATGTCGTCGGCAATGTTGGTAAAAATGTCGCTCGGTGCTGTAGCCGAGCCCTCAGCGGGCTGAACAACAAGCAGTGTCTGAAACTGGCATGCTCGCTCCGCATCTGCATTGATATGTCGAATCTGATGCAGCCCAGTCTGCTCAAACTCAATCATATCTGCGGCCTGAGATTGAATTCGCTGTAAAAACTGTCCCAACTCGTTTTTGCTGTCGATCGAAACGCGCACAGGTACAGTGGCTATAGTTGGTGCAATAAGCTCTTCAACCTCATCCACGGCGGCTTGTCTGCCCGTCGTTATGCTGCCGAAGACAACATCGGGGCTGTTGGTCAGACTGGATATCAAGATAGAGTGAGCCGCACGAATTGTCGTCGATGGGGTGATTCCATTTTTTGGCCATTGTATTCCTTCCACAGAATGAGTGTACAGTTTGTCCGACCTAGGCTGGTAGTCGACAGATGGCAAGCTCGGAAAGATCTGGGCTTCGACGTCTTGGAACTGTTCGGTCCAGAACGAATGAGTCTTCTCGCCATCCCTCGTTGAAATATACCTGATAAACCGTTTAAAGTCGGGTGAGTTTGACTGCGCGTCTGCCTTTCCGGCGTACTCGTTCTCGAGCTTTTCGAGTAAAAGCTGAAGTGACCACCCGTCATACAGGGCATGGTGCAGTGTCCAGACGAAGTAGTGCTTAAAATCAGACGAGTCGCCGGTGACAATTTCAAATCTGCCTAATGGCATGCCTAGCCCGAATTGATGCTTGTGGTCTCTCGCCTGGCTCAGAGTCCTCCTTTGGATCGACGAACTTGACCACTGCTCGTTTAGAACAGCCTGTACCAACCCCTGGCTAGTGATGTCGACAATTCGTGTTCTCAAAATGGGCGTCGTAGCAACTACTGTCGCCCAGGCTTTACCTAGGCGCTCTATGTCGCATCGATGGTGTAGCTCCAGCGTATACTGCATGATGTAATCACCCTCGCGTTTTGCGGATAGGGAGATCATGCCTTCCTGTAGCGGTGTGCAGGGATAAATGTCTTGAATTTGATTCTCTTGTACGTTGCACGATGCTGCAGCCTCTCTGAGGGCTAGATCAAGATTGATATCATTGCTCAGAAGCTCAAATGGCATAATTTCATGTGCCTGCTCTTGCTCCACTGTTTCAACCACCTGTGCCATGTCCTGAAGTCGCGGATACTTCAGCACGTTGGCCACGCTCAGGGAGAGGCCTTCTCTTCGAGCTGCAGTGACGAGTTTCATGGCTGCATTTGGGTTGCCGGCTCTTTGCAAAAAGTTATCGTTGAGAGCAATAAGGTTTTCGTCAATCCTGAGGATAGAGCCCCAGAGTCTTCTCAACTGTTTCTCTCGCAGAGTGAGAGGGATCTGAGCCTCATTAGGTGCTGCGCCAAAGCCTGCCAAGACAGTCAAGTCCATTGATTCACCAATGGCCCGCAGTTGGCGTCGGTCTGTCTTGCCTGTCGGAGACAATGGGAAGTTCCTCAACGGAATGAATACAGCAGGAACCATATATGAAGGGACGTCTCGAGCAAGATTGCTTCTCAAGTTAGACATCATCTTCTCGGTCTTTGAAAACAACTGTTCCGCTGTTCCCGTATCCTCTACACCAAGGTCGACCTCGAGGAATACTGCCAGGACAGCATTGGAACCAGTCTTTGGTGAAATAATTTCTGCTGCAATTTGTCGCACAGACACGGTACCATGTGGGATGTGGCGGTAAATATGATGCTCAATATCACCCAGCTCAACTCGTTGGCCGTTAATCTTGACTTGCGTGTCCTTACGGCCAATAAATGTCAAGCTACCGTCTTTCTCGTAACGGACCAGGTCGCCGGTCTTGTAGAGACGCCCGCGCCTCCCAGGCTGACCAGGTCCATCGCCGCCATTGAGCAGAAAAAGCGGATTGTTGACAAAGGCCGCAGTGGTCTTCGTCTGGTCGTTCAAGTAGCCATTGCCAAGCAGAGGCCCTTCAAGTAATAGCTCTCCAACCTGTCCAATAGGCACCAAAATTCCTTCATTCTCACTGTCTACAACCCAGCTGTTGACACCCAAGCCTCGGCCAATGCTGCTAATTTTTGAATCATCATCATCCGGTCGAATTGTAGCGATAGTCGATGTAGGCGTACATTCACTCGGTCCATACGGATTTTTCAATGTTACCAGCGACGACAAATGTCTGGCAAGCTCTGCAGACAGCTTCTCGCCACCTAAAACAAGTGTTTCAATCTTGCAGAGCAAGGAATCAGGGATAAGGCGAGCAACAGACGGGGTCACATCGACATGTGTAGCACACAGTGAGCGTATGGACTCGACGAGATTGTCCTTGCGGTCCTGCTCTGATGGAATGCACAGACAGGCGCCGATGGTGAGGGTGTGGATGAGGTTTGACCAACTCACATCAAAAGCATACGAAGCAAAGTCATATACTCTTGAAGTGGACTTGAAGCCATGCGCTTCTTGTTGGTGGAGAATGACACTAGAATAATTGAGATGTGTGACGACGACGCCCTTGGGGGTTCCTGTACTTCCAGAGGTAAAGACCACGTAGAGATTGTTGTCTAGACTAACGTCAGGGAGACGGGCGACCGAGTCCGGCTCGAAATTCATTTTGGATAGAGAATTTTCATCAATTGTCAATGCTACTGCAGACTCGGTGATAATTGACTTGGTCAAATGGCTCTTGGACGCGGAGCATAGTATCACTACAGGGTCGACCTGGTTGATGATAGACTGTAATCGTGGCTGTGGCTGGCTTGTATCGAGTGCAATGGAGGCTCCACCCGCCTTCATGACGGCCAGCATAGCCAGAGGCGTATACTTCGACTTTTCAAAACATATGACAACATTGGTTGCAGGGCCAACTCCAAGGTCGAGCAAACGCAACGCCAGTTTGGTAGAAGTATCCTCAAGCTCACCATACGTCCACTTCCCGTCCCAAGCGTCGACGGCAAGTGCATCTGGCTGCTGGAGAGCTTTGTCGGTGATGAGGGTGTGAACGCATGTCTCACCCGCCTCAGGCACGTTAGCGTTCCAAGACCATATTTGATGAATATCTTCCATGGTTGCTGATGTTGTAAGATCATTGGGAGATCGCATTTTGATAAGGTCTATTGATCGTTTGAGGGATTGATGAATGGATTGATATGAAGCAATTGATGATATTCTGTGGACTCTTCTCATTTTAAGATGTTTGCGCAGGGCATCAGCGGAATATATGAAGATGTGCCAGCTATAGTACCCATACTGTAACTATGCTAGTAAAATGCCATTATGGCCAGACTCCCCCGACGGGCAATGAATTCCCGAGGTCGTCATCTTGGGCTTAGTCGGAAAGCACATAACCAAACATGCAGTATAATGTTACATCTGAATCCTACAGCGCCAAAGTACGTTTTCCCCAGCAAAACATGTGCTAAGGGGCCAAACAGATCAGGGTCATTGTCTCTAAAACCGCTCGTAGTGCGAGGCGTCGTTTCTGACGAAATATCTCCAAAGTTTGCTCTCCGTCATCTGATTATACATAGATGTCTTGAAACCATCTCAAGGAATATTCGAAGACTAAAAAACGCAAAAATCCAAACAAAGCATATGAACTTTCAAAGCCCTTTCTTTGTGCTTTTCGCGTTCTTTGTGGCTCCACTGTGAATCTCGCCACAATCCGATACTACCTCAACGGAAGCCTAGACTTGCATCCGACTGGTGGTTGCCTTTCGAGTGAGACAAACAGATACAAGAGTGGAGGCTTAGGATCCATGGTCCTCCGAGGCACATCAGGCAACGTGCAGTGGATACGTAACGTGATTATGAGGCTTCTAATAAATATTACAATGATGATCATCTCTAAAGCAAACGTAGGAAATCTTATCATAGTCTTGGATGAATTTAGGATAAATTTATTTTTGGAAGATCAATAGAAACCGGAAATGAGGCATTGAGGTAGTTGGAAGGCTGAAAAATCGAAGGAATTTTCAAATTTGAGGGTTGCGCGAATTGATTACTATTTGGAGAAGCAATTGAGTTTACTCCGTAGCCCCGAATACCCCAGGATCGCGCTAGCTCAGGCCGTAGATCATTCCCATCAAATTTGGGGCTAACTCCAACTATGGTTGGGGGCCGCGCCGAGCCGAATCCACAAGCTTGAATGACCGGGGTGGACCCGTGGGAACTGCACTAGTGCTGAGTCATATAACCCCAGCCCTATAGGCTTCTGCCGTGACAACTGCCCCTATTAGAAATCTGCTGCCGTCCTCGGTAGCAGCGCAACAGGCAGCAGTGTCAGAAAAGTACGTTACAGAATGAGGTGGAGATGCTAAAGATATTGCTAAAGATATTGCTATTGGTACGTTCTACCGACGTAAGATATCATCTAGCGCTTAGTCATCTATACGGGGCTCTAACTACTGTGGAATCCCTAGGTAATCAGGGACAAGAGAAACCATGATCACGCTCGCTGAGCAGGAGCATGATCCGCCCTGATCAGTGTCACGCAGCAGAGGATTTCTGCTACATAGGAGAGTTTGCACATAGGCCAATTGGTCAACTATTTGTCCATTTAATTTTCTCCTTCTCTTTGCCACATATCCTCTTGTAAGCACTAAATGCATTCAGCTCTATCAGGAGGATTACTGTCAAGAAAGAACTCCATCCTCCGCAGCGGGATATGTAATAGTAATTCAGGTATCTTAATTTTCCTGCCGTTCTAAATCAAGGCATTATAAGGCACCAACACCATCGAAAAGCGGGGTTTGAACCCTGGCCACACCGCTGCGCACGCCATCCTTCTTCTCGAACCAGATCATTTCCTTGAGCATTTCCTCCAACTGCAGATTCAACCTTGTGACTTGAGCATCTTCTATCACAAACTCCGCTTTTACGATGTCATCACTGCCATCGAGCCAATCAGTAAGATGAGCATCGAATTTTCGGTCATCGGACACATGTTCGAATTTCAAGGTAAACCCCATTGAGCGATCTGTAGCATCGATGAAGAGCGCATCATCTCTGATTTGAACCAGTAAGTTATGATACCCAGGATTCCAGTAGTTGCCAGCGTAAGCACTGAGGGGTATTGTCGGTGGCTGCGGAGTATTACGTTTTGCTTTTTGCTCATTCACTTGGCCCTTCTGGATCCCTTGACTTTTCTTCGCTTGGGTTTTCTTTTCCTGCTTTTTCTTCTCCTTCTTTTCCTGGTTCTTACTCATTGGATTTGCATCTTTCGCCTCGGCCTGGGGCTTGGGACCGCGAATTTCAACAGATCGTGTGTCTTTGCTTTTGCTGTCCTGAAGTTTTTCGTCCGTGACTCCAAGGATATTGTCAATTAGCTTTTGGACGAGGGTCGTCGCCATGCCATATGCCCCATCTGAGTTTCCCATGATCACAGCACCGAATGAGAAATCAGGGAGAAAGAAGAAGCGACTTGCGAATCCAGAGAATACCCCATTATGGCCGACAACCATATGTCCCTTGTAAAAGTAGATATCCAGGCCAGCAGCATATGCTACCGGTGAGCTGTGCCGCTTCCGTTTTCCTGGGTTTGGATTCACAAAAGTTCGCAGGCGAGTGAGCCCTTCATAAACATTTTTATTGATAGGGTCTTCGCGATTCATGAACGCCTTCACAAATTTGATGAAGTCATTCACGCTCGAAATGATAGACCCTGCGCCTTGGCCTTCTGGGCAGTCTGGACTCTCTAACCCACGATATGTTGAGTCGGCCCTTTTCCATGTGTAGCCAGTTGCCATGCGGGATCCAAATCCTTTTGATCGTGCGCTGCTGGGTTGAAGAGTAGTTGATGTCATGTCCAGAGGCTTGAAAAATCGCTCTTCGAGGAATGTACCAAAATCCTGTCCGCTCTTGACTTCCACAAGGTGGGTTGCGACGGTATACATCATGTTGCAGTAAATATACTTTGATCGAAGGGGGGCCCCGACAGGGAGATTCCGGAGGTTTCTCGTAATGGATCGAGCATTGTCCGGCTTCGCCGCTCGCACACTCATATACGACTCGTCATGGCTGGCGCAATATGATTAGTCTTGAAGTCAAACATAGAATTTGAAAAATATTAGCTCACCCAGGCATTCCACTTCTATGACTTAAGATGTCTTCCACGGTGACGCCTTCTGTGTATCCTTCTCCAGACATAACAAAGTCCTCGGGGAGAAGAGTCGACATGACGGCATCGTACTGAATATCCGGGAACCTGTCATTATCGTCGACTAGCAATCCCACCGCCGCAGCAGTGAGTGATTTAGCAGACGATGCAATGTCAAACAGCGTATCTGCTGTACAAGGTACTTCGGGATCCAGGCTCGCATGTCCATATCCCGCAGAGGCAATTTGATCATTGTGTATGATTGCAATCGCCAGCCCCGGGACATGCTGCTGATTCATCAACTCTGTCACATATGGCGCAAACCCTGCCGAGTGAAAAAAATCCATATCGCTGATTTGACGAATTACCGGTGTGCGTTATGGAATGCCACTGTATAGGCCTGTTCATGTAGGTTCCAGGCGGTTTCTTTGCGGGGAAAGACCTCAGTTCAAACCTTGAAATGACAGATGCCACCTGGCATGAGAATGCGGGCCGGATTATAACACGCTTGGTCAGCCGCAAGGCTTAGTGTGCATGCCAGTGCCAAGTAGCTCTCAACGTTGGGGCCTGAGGATCAGCACCCGAGCGGCCTGGGCCCTTCAGGTTGCCTAACCGGAGCGGTGCGGCTTTATCCGACTGCTGCCTGTTTGGCCATGGAACTCGGGTAGAATACCTCTAAGTTGATACTAGACCTAGCATAGTGGATAATTACTGGTAGCATTCCGATTGAAGTGATCATTTTGTTCTAAAGCTGTCATTCTTCTAAAGCCAGAAATAGACTAGGCAGTTTACCAAAAGCACCTTTTTAAAAGATTGTTGAGATTGTTGAAGGTAGTCACTTCTAAGTTGCAGGACTTTATACAATTCCTACACGCATTTCTGTTTCCCATGCCGAACAAGAAGACTATACTCTGAGGAAAAATAGATACTCATCTACTATTACCAGCATTGTAGCCCTTACTGGAGCAAGAGATACCAAATTACCTCTCCTCTGTCTGCATACTGTCATATAGCGCCTTGAACAGTGATCCTGGCCGTTCAAGCAGCTCACGCGGTGGGCCCTCCTCAACGATACGCCCTTTGTCTAGCACCACGAAGCGATCAAAGTCCAGCGTTGTGTGTAGCTTGTGAACAACAGCAATGACAGTGCACGCCTCGAATTCTTTCTGCAGAACCTCGTGTATCAAAGCGTCCGTATCCGCGTCAACGCTGCCACCCACCTCATCCATAATGAGGACGCTGCTTGGATTGATAACTGCTCGAATAAGACAGAACAATTGCCTCTGTCCATGCGACAAGGTCTCTTCGTTCATATCCTCATCCAGCCCGCCACGAGACTCGCAAAAGTCCCATAGGCGCACAGACTGAAGTGCCTGAATCAAGCGCTCGTCGGTAGCGACCCCGAGAGGGTCAAGGTTCTCGCGGACGGTGCCTTGTAGGAAGAACGGGTCTTGGGGAAGGGAGTTGAAGCGAGCACGAACGGCCTGGCGAGTGATGGTGCTGATGTCGATGTCGTCGACGCAAATCGATCCTGATTGAAGCTCCAACATGCGCAGGAGAGTTGATACCAGGGAAGATTTGCCGCTACCTGTGCGACCGCAGATGGCTACCTTTTCACCAGGTGTTATGGAAAGGTTGATGTCCTGGAGTACTGGGTCCGTGGAAGTGTCATAGGATGCAGAGACACCGTTGAATACAATGGCGCCCTTTGCGGGCCATTTGTCGCTGACAAGTCCGGTCTCATTGGGCAGGTTCTCGTCTTTCGTGTCGAGAATATAGGTACGGACACGACTGATAGCTCCAAGAGCCATTTCAACCTGCGTCCACTCGGTAACGAGCGTCTGTAGCGTGGTACTGAATGTCACGATTTGATACAGGGCTACGCCGAGATAGCCAGTTGAGCCACTGCCTCTGATATTTGTCGCAAGGGCAACGAGAATAATGGCGATTCCAGCGACAAATAGGTCCAGTACCATTGTCAGCCATCGCTGGACACACCACAGCAGATAGTATGGCTTTTGTGACACGTTGAGGGAGTCGT